GATTATAATGAACAAGTTCATTAAATCTCTGATAATAAGTATTCTTATATACATGATGCTTCTCTGGTGATAATCTTGCTAAGCTGTCCTATTTATTCTACTGTAATATGTTTGCTATATTCTTTAATTAATTCTATTGTGCTCAGTGTAATTGGTCAGCTTATCAGTTCTATTATTAGTTACATGATTCTTGCCTTAAAGTTCTTCCACAACAGTCTGTAATTCCATCTTGTCAGGTTTCATCTAATTATCCTGTGTGTTCTGTTTTTGTGCTGCAGGATTCATAACAATAATGTTAGTCAGACAGTTAATGAAAGATGTAAGATTGGTCTAGACAGAGATTAGTCTGATAATAAGTAAAAATAATAAAGAAAATCTACAAGACTGCTTTCTGTAATACTCTGAAAACCTTTAACTTTATTCATTAAACAAGTAATAAAATAATTAAGCAAAATTCAGATGTTTCTGATTTCATTTTCTATCTGAGACAGAATAGTACAAACTAGAGTTGTTAAATGAAGAAGCTCAGATAAACTATCTTTAGTAGATTCTGTTTCAAACATGAGGTTCACAGTTTTGATTTCATAATGTGATGCAGGATAACAGCACTTTATAGAAGAGTCTTCAAGATAAAAAGTAGTCTAGCAGTAATAGTATTTAATAGCTTTAGAGTCAAGCTTATAAAACTCTTGCACAAGTACACTCATGCACTTTATATTATACAGACAACACAGATCAGCTATATTAAAACTATAGTATTTCTCTTAAAGTCTTAGAAGCTGACAAACAAGTCTAATAGTGGATTCTGAAACCTATACTTATGTCAGAACAACAAGAAAGACAGATGAAGAGACATATATATTATAACAGATTCAAGTCTGATATTCTAAGCAATGCACACACAATTCTTGACTGGCATTCTATATATATGATACAGATTTATCTAAGCAGTCTGTAAATATTAAGTATATACAGACAGAATACAGAAGAGTATCTTTCTTATTATAAGAAATAAAATCTTTTGACAACAATATTATGATAAGCTAGACTGAAGAGATAACAACACATGCATCCAGATAAAGTAGAAGAAAGAGAAGAAGAAAGAGAGTAAAGAACTCTCTATTTATATTCATACAGCAACACATTAAAGTTACTAGTTTTATAACTTGTTGATAAACAAATATAACAATGGACAACAGATAATATAGCAACCAGATAAGCAAACAAATAAAGAGACAATAATATAATAAAATGCTGGACTTTCATAATAAAATAATTAATATTCTATAATAAAGAATATGAAGGATGTCTACTATAATTAGTAGTGATACACATGTGAGATATCTATATAAACAAGTGATAGAGATGCAGAAGCCTGTACATTCAAGAATCTATAACACTCCATTAATGACAGGAGAGCTATAATGATGTACAAAAAAACTATCTCAGTAGTCTTATATCTTGGAATCTGAGGTCTTTAAAGGAGAAAATAGTATTACAAATATAGATCTAGACCAATCTTGCATCAGACAATGTCAGATATTTGGGACATCATGTGGCCATATCTCTGAACATATAAGGATCACACAATCCTTACAGATTGTGTGAACCTTACTGTTCAGTCTTCTAGTTAGCAGATCTATACATTTTACACACAACTTCCTCCCATTAGTTGTGGGCATCACACCCATTTAGCTCTTTTGTATCTCAAACCTAGAAGAACCTATGAAGTCTATGTTGGATCCCCTCCTAACACTATCTGTAAATCAGCAGTTAAGATAAACTGATTTACTGCTGCTTTGCTCTCTGTTGTATCTGCTTCTTTCTCTTCCTTCTTTACTTTAATCACATCTTCTTTCTTTGTTTAGTTGCAGTTAAACATATCTGTGTCAGGCCTGCCTCTAACTGAAGACAGTAGAGCTGATTTGGTTGAAAGTATGATTAAGTAATCTGAATAGGCTCACTCGGATAATTCTTCTGCACTAGTTTTATGCTCTGTCTCTGAATCAGAGACTCCAACTAGTGAGGAGGCTTCTGAAATTTAAAAAAAAAAAAAAAAAAAAGAAAAAAAAAAAAATTCATTATAATTTGGGTTGTGCAGGTGTTGTGTAAACACTTAGTTAGTTTCTAGTAATTGAAAAGCTTCTGAATTAGATTCAAAACCCTCAATTGGTGCATTATATGTTCTGAATTCTATATGTTTCAGACTCTTTATATGTGCATTGTAAATATATGGTTGATCTACAGTTTCAAGCTTGCAATCTGTGGTTCAACAGGTCGCGTCGGATAAATGTTTTCTGATGGTTGCCCGAAAAGCTCATTTTTCCGGTATGGTAGCTTCGGCCACCCTGGCCAATGCAATCCTCAGACTTCCTGGATTCGAGACGGAAATCTTCATCGTAATTTGGTCAAGACATCAATTGAAAGACTGACAGTTGGAACTAGTTGATAAGTAGCTCTGCCTCACCATCACCAGACTTGACATCTTCGCCTCTTATCCCGATGTGCACAAGAGTACCGGTCGGGTCCGCCGTGCTGTTGGAAATAAATAGAGCCCAGTGTGCTCTATCCCCAGTGCCAAATGCAATAAGATGAAGGGTTTGTGGAGCATGTCCAACATGTACTATTTCATGTCTCGTTTTGCCATGAGCACGAGTTCATTCCCAGGGCTTTTTTTTTTTTTTTTTTTTTTTTTTTTGACAAGGTGCTGGCCCATATTCATGCTTATAAAATGTATAAATATCTTAGCTGTGCTTGCTTCTTCTCTACTTATGTGATGGCAGACTCCGCATTCGGGCAAAGGCCTATACCCGAGGGCTCATCCAGGCAAGACCGCTCTCACAATCCTCCGCACACGTTGCAGCAACAATTTCAATCAGCAAGACTGGCGGCAAAGCATCAGTCTCTCAAAGCACTTTGCATTCTCTGAAACTCAGGCAGACCCCATCGCTGCATCCACTCACACCTCACCACATTGTCTATGCTAGCCCTTTCACTCGGCTCAAGGACTAACATAGATTGCATCATGTCATGAAATGATTTTTTCTCTTCAGTGTCAAAGGCCTCGAGCTTCTTGCTCTTCCGCGAGATATTTATCTCCGCAAACCGCTGGGTCCAGCTCCGGCTGGTGTTGCCATAATACTGCCGCAGGCTCTCCTTGACATTTTTATGGCCATCTTCATCAAACCAGTTGCCGCGGGTCTCCCACTTGCTCCACCATTGATCCGGAAGTTTACCAAATGTCTCAACATGCTCAACAGTAATGTCATCCTGCGAGCCGGGGAAAGCTTCGAATGGTGGACTAGATCCAAAAAGGTCCCAGATCACACACCCGAGCGTCCAGATATCTGATGGAAAAGAAAGCAGTTCATCCGCAAAGCGAGATTCCGGCGGTGATAAGGGGACTGGTGCATGTGCAGTGAATCGCTGTGTTCTTTGAGGATCAAAAGCTTCTCCAAAGTCTGTAAGTAGAATGGAAGAATCGGCCAACTTGATCTCATCACTTCCAAGCCCCAGCAACACCGGGAAAACAACCTTAGAAGGAACCCCATTATCAAGGGGTAAGCCGTCTGCACGAACAACAGGCTCCTCATCAGGCCTTCCACCATTTATGTACAGCTGTTCGCGGGTCATGCTCCGAATATTTGGCGGTAGATGAAGGAGAATATTCCCAGCGTGAAGATCTGTGTCATCTGGTTTAGACTCTATAAGCCAGGTCAGGTATGTCATAGCACCAAAACATACCGCCGTGAACGACCCCCTGAGCATGTACAAATTGCAGTGCCAATATCAATTGGGATGCAATGGCTCTAGCGACTTCAAGCTGGAGAAGGCGGTGATAAGCCATGTCCTTTGCAACATGAATGCTGACCCTCGCAGCATCCATAACCAAGCACCGATGCGTCCCATTCGGCCCAGAGAAGGTGAAAGAATCAAGCAATGTCTGGACTATGGCTTTTCCGGGCAACGCTGATCGAGACTTAGCCAGTCGTAAAAGAATTTGTTCCTCATGAGTGCGCTCAACTGATTCTGCAGTGGAAATTTTGAGGGCGACAAGTTTTTTCATTACTTTGTCTTCAGCCAGCCAGGTAGTGGCAGACCGTCCAAATCCAAGTTTATGGGCAATGACATAGCGGCCTTCCTGGAACTCGTCACCAATCTTTACCGGATGGTACCCGCCACGGACATAGTAGTCCAGGCGCTCGACACCTTCCTCGACATACGCATACTTGACTTTGCTTGGTTCCATAATGGTGGGCATATTTTTGGTTGGGGTGAAAAATCGAATCTGTCGGCAGCAGTACTGCAACGCCTTTGCAACGCGGGCGCAACTGGCCATAGTCATCAGCAAGCAATGATGGGAAGAGGGTCCAAACAGAGTGGAAACTCGAAGAGGGTGAGACGTAAACAATGCAAGCGAGTGCCAGGAATGGAAGGTGTTTTCACGCCAATGTTTTACGAAGCACCTTCGGTTAGGAGGTGATAAACTGGCCAATCAGAGGCCGTAGTTTTGGCAGAGCTGGGCAAGCGGAGTCAACTCACCGATAAAGCAGGGGTTCAGCTCCCCCAGCTCTGCCGCATGTCGGGGTCCGTGCATCCTGCCGACAGTTTGAGGTCACACCTCGCAATATTCTTCCTTTTTGATCCTGAATACGGAGTACGGAGTACATCGATCGCATTGGGTCAATCTAGCGGCATTCGCGGGGATAACGCGCATCCTCTACACCCACAAGGGCTTTATCCCTTTTCATGGTGAGGCCCCCGACTGCAGTCTGGAGGATGAGAACCAATCAATACTCAGGCGGCAGCAGGGAAATGGAAGCGAAGGCTGAGCAAGCATGGGTTGAGTCATGATCGCGGAGTTGAGAGACATCTCTGTATTTATACGGCTGCTCGCCTCGCTACAGCAGCGGGCTCAGTTCAATTCTTCCATCGTACTCTACCTGGAGGCAGTATTATTTAATAATTACTCTCCGCTGCAAGTTTGTTGTCTTAGTATCATGTCAACCTTGAACTTGGTCAAATTTTTCTTCCTGCAACGGCCGGCGAGCGCTACAACAGTTAGACAATACATCGCCATCGCGTACCAAACTGCAAGAGACCAAAAGATACATCCAACAGCCATCCTTATTCGGTAAGTAAATTGGTACCGTGCAATTTTCGGGTGGGGAGGTAATCACCATTAAACCGTTAGATCAGGTATACATGGAACGACCACCATCGGGGGCAAATATCAAAAGGTTCCCAAGGGGGAGCATTTGACCCTGTGCTTCAAGGATGGAGAAATGTCAGAGAAGGGTACACACGTCGCTAGTCATGGCTATGTCAACTCGAGACAGGACTGGGAGATTCGCGAAGCATCGCACTCTCCTGAGAAACATGATGCCACAGTTGCCAGAGGAACCGGGCGTGCTATCTGGCCAGCTGAAGCGATGTTTGAGATTGAAGTGGCTTTCGGCCATGTGCCAGACGAAACAGAGATCAAACTGCCCGAGGAGTGATTCGATCAGCAAAGGGGATTGCGTGCGCTGGTGTTTGCGGACAGGATAGCTCAGACTGCATCGACACCGAAGGAAGAGAAATGTTTATAATTGACAAGTAGCACCGAATCACTATCACCCTCATTCTCACCAGGGCTGCTATGGAAGCCACTTTCATATCTACTGTCCCAAAAGATGGCATCCAGCACAGGGCTGGTGCTCTTGCTCTGACTGCCTTTATCATCAGGTCCAGCAGGTTGGAAGCTAGGCACTATGGTCAAGACAGCCCAGCAAGCAGCAAAGAAAGAATATAGACTGATAAACTGAGAGAGGGAGTGCTTTCATAGACAAGGGCAAGACATGCAGTGCTGCCAAAGACACCAGCAGAAGGAAGAACAGGAGCAGAAGAGGAGACAGTCAGCATGACAGGATCTAGAACTAGAGAGAACATGATGGTCAAGAGGGAGCCAGAATTGACACTTTGCTTGCTGTGTCAATTCTGGCTCCCCCAGACAAAGATGAGTGACCAGGTGAGTGAGCATAAAAGTGAGCCACAAAAGGAGGTGGCAGATCCAAAAAGTTGTGGCTGTGTGTGGAGGGAAGGGCTGTGGCCATGTGGATTGATTCATGTGGTTATCGAGGGGCGGTGGTTAGCAGGAGGCCAAAAACAGCACTAAAAACAGCCATTTTTGGCCGCTGGCTAACCGTCACATCGTTATATGGAGTATATATTATTAATTATATTTACATTGGAATTATCTCTCGCCCTGCTTTTATCGTTATACCCATCAAAAAGCATGCATATATATATATATATATATATAGGTAGTACATGTATTCACTGAAAATAAAAAAAATGAATTCGAAAAGAACGAGAGGGGCATGGATAAGATTTTGGACTTGGAGAAATGGACTCGCGTCCTCCGTAGAGTCATCAACCAGGAGAGCCTGCCGTTGCATATCTAGACATTATGAGAGAGCATATAATAGCATAACACCGTCAAAAAGTATGTGAAACCTCTCGAAACAGGTGCACAAATATATATTAGAATGAAAATATAAAAAGAAAAGAGTTCCCTGCCAGGGAAGTGGAGGCAAAAGCCAAAATGCGAAAAATAAAACAGTGATCACGGCGCTTTGTTTATTAAGTTGAGAATTATTTGGGGTATATGCGCGAAATTAAAAAATGAGAAAAATAATCTTTCGTCGAAAAGGGAAAAAACTGTGTAAAGGATCGTACACAGCCTATTTTCCTAGGCGGATTGATTCAATTGCACGGTTCTAAGTATCTAGCAAGCTTGCAAAATACCCGACTTCTTTGTTGCACGCATATCGGTCAGGCCGCTTGCATTAATTGCCGGTACGGATGCACGATAAGGCCCGGGTGAAGGTCTGGCCAGTACTCGTTGGTCACCATTCACGCGTGTCTGAGGGACAGGAATGTGTGTCCGTTTCATCGCAGCAGTTGGAGAAGTCCAAGAAGGGGGTCTTCGAGGGCCAGAGGCAGGCGGGATCTCAGGCAGAGGACAGTTTGGTGGTGGCGCCGGAGGCGGCCCGAAGGCCATTTGCGGCAAGCTGCGTTTGGGGGAAAGGTTGGATACGTGGGAGCTTCGTGACGGCGGAGGTGGTGGGTAGTACCTAAGTGGCTTTGGGACATTCGAGATGGCTACAGCTCTGGAGGCTTGCGACTGGAAGCTTTGTGGTGGTGGTATGGGAGGATATCTAGCCGCTGTTGACAAATTTGAGATTGCCAAACGTTTTGGATTTTGTGTGCTCTGTGGTATCAAGGTCATAGGAGGATGTTCTGATGGTAATACGCGTGGAGTCTTGGCTTGCAAGCTTAATGGTCGCCGTAGGGATGTTGTGCCGTCCTCGCGTGGGTGTCGCGCGCACGCGGTGGATTCTGTCCCCGTCAATAGTGGCCAGCGATATTGTGGCGTTTCCTGAACCGTTCTCTCACTCTCTTTGTTGATAGCTGGTGGCACAAGAAAGCCTCCAGATACAGGGGAATACATGTCAACACTGTGTTCGGATGTCGAATATCTCCGTGGTGGGAGCTGGTATGTTTTTAATTGGTTGGCTTGTCGGCTCATAGCTTCTGAAGTACCGATGGCTGAATGTCGACTTCTTACACTTGATGGTCTGACACCATCACGAGCGATGTGAGGATACATTTTTGTCCTCGCTCCTTGCTCGATTGGCGCCAGGCCCTCAGGGCTCGAATCAATTGATGTTTCCGAATCATAACACGATAGTTGCGCTACAGCAGCAGCGGGTGTTACATTGGGAACAGGAGTGATTGAGCGAGGCTGGGATGATCGCACATTTACCGCGGAAGAATATCGTTTGCTGAATACCGGAACACTAAAATTGGGTGTAGACATTAAAACCGGCCTCACCACTTGGGGCGAAACGTATTCCGGCCTTGGCTGCTCAAGAGTGCCGCTCTCTCGCCGAAGACAGGGCGGTCCTCGAACTGTGGATATTGGTCGCGAACACGTATCCAAAAGCGGGCCATTTGGCTCATTTCGAAAACCTTCAGGGGATCCAAATGAGCTTTTGGTCATTGCATACTTAGGACCTGCTGAGGAAGACGGCGGGGACGAGCCACAGGAGCTAGAGATGGTCCTGGTACCAATGGAAGCATATGATAACCGGCAGTTATCTTTTAAGCGATCGAAATCACTGCCTGTGGTTGCTGTCGAAGGAGAGGGAGCTTCGATTGACCGAGCCATAGATCGACGATTTGCTTGTAGGATGGCAAGGCCATCGAGCCGCGATTGCGTCGATGGAGAGAGTGTAGACGAAGATACTGATACTAATGACCTATTGGCAATACTATTCTTATTTTGATCGCTTGCTCGTCGACGATCCTTTGTTGCGGGCTTTCGCATCGATGCCATGCTTCGATACCGATGAAGAGGTTGAGGTGTTTCATCAACCATGGGGGTCTCAGGAACATACTCCTGCCCGCGTAAGCCCTCGATCTCACGGCGCATCGTGATCAGCCAGGCCGCCAATTCATTTGCATTGTCCAACACTAGTAAAAATGACTGTGTCATCTTTGGCGAATCAGAGAGTCGGAGCCGAGACAAGAAGCCTCTCTTATTGTCTACAGCCGTCGTACCATTCTCGTCGAAAGTATGCGAAATTTGGAGCACCCAATGCTTCCCTGGAAGAGCATCGCTAGCAAATGCGACAGAATTCTCCCCGAGTTCCAGAACCAGTTCAGGCAACCGATCGAAACTACCGTCAGCACTATACTGAAGTAGATAACCACTAGTGACCAGCATGTATATCTTGCGAGACCACTCAATTTTGTGAATAGTGTCAGTGGCTTTCATGACGTGTTTATGATCCTTTCTCCCCTTTGAGTCGATCGTATAACTATTTTCTCGGCTTTCTTGCTTTAGTAGCTCTTGGATCCGCAAAATCGCCTCGGCTGACATATTTGGTGCAGACAAAACCGCATGTTTAATGGCTTGAGGGTAAGCCTTGAACAACGGTGGGGGCTTCCAGTTAGTAATTGCCTGACCTTTCCGTTCTTTGACTGATTTGGAAAGCTTTGGGGTTGAATTGAGGGAACCGTTGGCTAGAGATGGAACTGTCGATTCGCTATAAGACTTAGTTATCTTGGAGGATTGTTTTGTGCTGGTCGGCGTAACCTGATCCTCGCACATTGGACTGACATTGGTAAACGGCTTTGAATCCACAATCGGAGACTGGGAACTAGCGCTCTTCGGGCTATTATGCCGAATAGATTTAGTTTTGTTGATAAGGCTTCTGAGTGACGATTTTGAGGTCTCTGGTTTGGGTGCTTTCAGAGGGACTCTGTCTGCGGATGTTGAGCCGGTAACCAATTCCGGGGGGGGTGGCTTCGGACGCATTGACGTCCGCCTGTTGACGGATGTTTGAATTGGCGGGAGCTTCGGACGTGCCCGAGGCCCCGGCGTAGGTGGTTGTTGTTGCGCATCCATGAGGCTAGCTTAGCCACACATAATTTCTTCTGAGCAATTGGGCTTGCTTCTGGCTTTTAGCTATCTCAATGGCGCAGCAGTTGGGAGAGGTTACGGATCTTAAGCTCTTCCGGAAACATGGCAACAGTCAGTAAGTGTTTTCATTAAGACCACTAGAAATGTGAGAAGGGCAATTTCGGGTACCAACAAAATTGTGATGATGGATTGGATGACGCAAACGAGAAGCTTCAAGGAAAAGGAATTATCGGTCGGGTGGAGTCGAGATTTTCTGCAATACAAGAATAATAAACTGGGAATTGTTGACTGCCGCGTGTTATCGTCCACAGAGAGGCGAGTATCGTGGACGTAACGCTGAGCGGACTCGGGTCGCATGTATGGAGTACTCCGTCACCAGATGTTCTTGACCTCCAAGTTTTCATCAATGATGCGTGATTGCAATTGGTATGCCAACAACGGAGATCCGAGAGACAGGTGCGGATTGATGATGCGCACAAACTTCCGGAGAGGAGAGATCGGCATTCCCCAGAATGAAGCTGGCAGTAACAATGCTCCTCCGGCCAGAAAAAGGTCGAAGGAGCACGCGAAGCAACAAGTACCGCGAAGGACAGGGTTGACTACCTATATAACTCGTCAAATGGCTCTGGCGTGACTGGGTACTTGGCTGTCACACTCGGGGTTTCTGGATCTTCCTGTTGGCCTTATGATCGGCTGTCTTGCGACAAGCTGTGAGTGGCCCACCCACGAAACCGGGCATAATGCGAGCAGGATCATGCAGAGAGTTTCGTCCTCGGCAGGTCCGTGTCATCAGAAACAATCGAATCTTCTACCAGTCCATGGACGGGGAAGTGCCCTACTCAATCTCTTGCGTCAAACATGCACGCGGTCTCCCGCAAAGTGAAACCAGGCAATTCGCGGCTCGAAAAAACGTCCTTGCGGTCTGGTCGAGTTCGCCAATATGGCGTGGAATTCTCTCCTTTCGCATTCAACGGCGCGAAAACAATTGAAGTGATAGCTCAAGCCTAGACCGACTTAGCTGCAGCCAAACCCATCGAAACGGGGAGACTAGTGACTGGTGAATCCACCGGTGATCGCTAGTTGACACCATGGCGGTGCCAGCGCACAAAAGGGGCGCGACCATCTCCGGTTGACCCTGATCGAAGGCTTGAGGGTGGCTCTTGGAGAGTCCAAGGGGAACTCCACCGCAGGGCCCGAGGATCCATCGTTTCGAGCCCGCAGGTTGCAGCTCGGCGACCTTGCTGTCGCTCGCTTGGTGAAAAGTCTAGCATGCCCTGTTTCAATGCATGCAACATTCTTCTCTTCTCGTACCTCTGGGGCGAACTAATAGTTGCTCTGCGAAAGCATGGAAGCGTCTTCATCACGCTCCTAAGCTCATTCTTACCAATCCTATTTTTGGGCCGTTCGAGAGTGCGAGAGTTGGCGTGGTTTTGCACAGCCATGAGGGGGAAGTTTGACGATCTTGGCAGACGACACAGCTAAATACTCGCCCACATCCCTCTCAACGTAACGCCTGATCACCTCTCCGGCTCACACCATCTCCAACAGGGCATTTATGGCCTTTCATCCTGTGGTCGATTATATGATCCGTACACTCTATTCCCCCTCCCCCCCAGGATCATGGAATCGTACTCGGTGGTTTAAATGCCCGAGGCTAGGTCCCCGCGATCGAGCCCCTTTCCACGCCCCTTTCCATGCCCCTTTCCACGCTTCAAGATAGAGCAAATCCTACAGAATTCTAACCTCATCCCTCCAGGTTACGATTCCTTAGAATGTGTCTCATCAAATTCCAAAAGGAGCGAAATCAGCCTTCGGGTCCCCAAACTCCCAGTCTTTGCCCAGAGCTCCCCTGCAACAAAAGATACTGTGACAATGACTAAATTGGATGGTATTTGACTCTAAGAGAGGAATGGCTCTCCAAAATCTTGATCTCAAAGGGCTAAATGATTCTTCCTGGACCACGTGCAGAATTGAAATGCACGGATAGCCCTTCTTTTCTGACAGTGTCTCCTCTTTTATTTTTCCCCTTGAGCTCTCCGAGTATCCATTCGACAGGAGAGAGATGTCTGCCAAAGTGGGAATCATGGGAGCTGAGCTTTCGAAAGGGATCCTTGCGATGAGAGACTCTTTCAGGCCTAGGGGACCCCTGGTAATAGGAGGGGCCCTATGTCACAAGGGTATTTCTTTGCATGGATCCTCTGAATAAACCGGGAGTAAGCAGGAGAAAGGCATTGGCCATTCAAGTTGGATTCTGGCAAATGTTCGTCCCGGCTCAGACAGTCAGACTTTTTTGTTTGGAAGTTGCTGGTTACCTGTCACACTGTTGCAGAGAACACTAGCATGTAGTACAGAGTACAGACGACGCCGAAGCTTGTCCAATGTTGATGGCTCCAATGCCACTACGCTAGCCTGATATGCCTCGCGAGTCTGCGTTCACGGTCCCAGTTTTTCAAGAATGAGCTAGAGGTATCAAATCCACACGAAAGTGAATTGCAGATAAGGCGGATTCTTTCTCCAAGGCGACAATAGCCAATGTTTGGTTGCCATGGTGGCGCACTGTGGAATTTTGTAGATTAAATTTTTATATACCTACTCCGTACTCCGTACATCCTGAATGCATCAGCCCATTCCGATTCGTGCACGCCCCTTTGAAGGATGAAGTGCAGGGCAGGGATGTGTAGAAACCCTGGAACACATCCTAATCCGGGTCAGCTGCTTTCCCCGCGATCGCATCGATCGCAGGGAGAGAAAATCAATTCGTTAAGTGGACCGAACACCACCAACTGGTCAACAAAGAAAACCCCGCAGTTGTGGATAATCAACATCATCATGGTGCCACACACACCGACCAAGATACCCAGAAGAATTCCTGGAAAAACTGCCCAGCCAAATCTTCTCTTGTCACCGTTGGCACTCACAGCCTATTCCTGTCTGTTTCGGGGCCTCCTCGCCAACAAGCGGAGCCTGTCATACTTACATTCACTGGAGCTGGGAACTCCACGTCATCTTATCCAGCGCTTGAGCGATTGGTATCTCCGCATGCCCGCATCCTACTCTATGACCGCAGCGGTCTGGGCAACAGCGAAAGAGGCACCAGTCCCATCAGCGCAGAAACAGCAGCGAAGGAGCTTTCGATGGCCTTGGAAGCCGTGAAGCTAGGTCCTCCGTACATCCTGCTAGCCCACTCGTACGGCGCCATCATCGTTGCGCGCGAGTTCTTGCATCTTCACGATGAGCATGTTGTCGGGATGGTTCTGGCGGAGGCTTCGACCGAGAGGCAGTATCTATTCTTCGAGATTCCAGATCGTAATATCTTGTCTTTGCTGGGCGATCTCAGCTTTGCTACCGTGACAGGCCTGAGAGATTCGTCCAAACTCTCCCGCGAGGAATGGCGGGCCCGAGCTGAGGAATTGTCGCTCTCAGCTGTAGCGGCGCAGGAGGAGGCTGACGGTTACGTGCCAAGTCTGCCAGACATCAGCAGAGAAAAACCAGCTTGAGTGGCGTGCCATGGGCAGTCGGCCAGTGTGTATTATTCGCTGCAATACAGCAAGTGAGTACCAGCGAATATATGATAGGGGTGTAGAGGCGGGAAATGGAACCGAAGAGGAGAGAAAAGCATTCCGAGATCTCCTCAGCCGATGGGATGATTGGGCCAAAGAGCTGGCCGAGGAGCAAACCCCATAATCCTTGGATCTGAAAAATATTTAGTTTGACATCTTCCGAAGGCAGCCTGGTTATGAAAGTAAGCCTTGGAAACGGTTGTGCTGATCTCAAAAGAACATGTGCAAGGGATAATTTCGTGTCTTTGGATCAAGTTAAGCTCCCATACGCCCAATGGCCCTGTCGTGAGCATGCAAGAATCCTCTAGAATCACACGTTTCAGCATTCAACAGGGATACCTGACTGTCACCAATCCATCCGGTTGTCCGTAGTCAACCTTCATGATGCAATCACCCAGGTGGTTTTCTTGGGCCAAGGCCGCTTGCACGGGCCGCTTGAGAGGCGGTGGCTCCCTGCCGATCCCACCCCTCGACCTTTTGTCCAAACACTTGAGTCCCTACATCCTTGATGTCGAGAATTCTTCCACAATCTCCAAAAGTAGCAGTGCTTGAGCGAGCTTCAAATAAAACACAGAAAGCAGCCGCTGTTCGTATTCGGGTATTAGGGCTCAGGGCTTGGATCGGGTCAGCCATGCCACGTGACCGCGGAATCAAACTAGTCCAAACTAGGTTACTAGCTTGAGCACGGGCCATCGCGCCGACGGTCCGGTGGTGCAACGGCTTATGTCATGTTAGCGTTGCCGTGCCCGGTGATGGCATGATTGCTCCTCTCTTATGTACATTGCCCCCAACGGGTCAGTCAGCTATCACCGCATCCAATATCACTTCCGCTCTGCTTCACTCCAGCATTGCCACCTGTAACAGCGATGCCCCCAGACCTCAATTCTCTCCCACCATCTCGCTCCACGTCTTTATCTCCCTTCCAAACTCGAACCATGCAGTCTTCCTCTGAGGATAGCGGTTCCCAATCGCCACCTCCCCGCTCGTCATCCGTGTCTCTTCAAGCTGCCGCGACTATGAATGCCGCGGATCTCTCCCACCGCTCTTCAACAAGATCACCACAAGCAAACAGAGCTGCAGAGCGCCGTCGTTCAGCCGTTGCCATGAATTTGAACCTCAATGATCCCACCATACCCGGCCCGGGCGAACTATCAAGTAGCGACCATAGGTCCTCGCTCAGAGACTCGTTGACTCATAGCCCGATGAACCTGGGAAGCCCTATGGTTGCTACTGGCGATCCTCATCATCACCATCGAACTCCTTCGCTGGGAGAGATTCATCAAGAGCTCGAGCAGGAGCAGGAGGCCCAAGTGGTAAGTGAATTATACCCACATCAATTATCCATCCATGATATAGCCATGTGTTGTTAGAATACAGCTGATAATGATGACCTACATAGAACCGCCTTCTTCTGATGATCCGTAACCAGCAAGCTCAGCTCCAGCAGATGCAACAGATGCAGCAACAGCAGAACTCTGGTAGCGGGTCGACCGCCGTTGAAGACTCGACTCCCACGTCAGAGCGATCCATATCATTTTCGTCGGTCCCACCACTCCCACAGCCGATTCCGCACCATCACCGTCGAAGATCGTCACTTCACCATCATGCGGGTCACTCGTCAAGACGGGATTCCACCAACACCACCGCATCATCGGTGCCAAACCCGCCGGGATTCCAACCGGATTTTAGCCTCACGGGCCCAGAGTGGGTTGCCCTGGGAGGCGATGGAGCTGGACGACGATGCAGCCGCGACGAGAGTGCATTTTACCAAGCAGAAACAGCAAACTTGACGCGGGAGAATCAAATGCTGCGTCTGAGAATCAGGGAACTAGGTAAGACCCCGCAGATCCCAACCCCAAGCCACTCCCAAAGAACCGATCTGCTAACCTCTCTGTTTCTACTCCGTAGAACGACAAGTCAGCCAATTGACCGCATCGCCTCCACACATGCCAGTTGCACCCTCGAACTTGACGTCGTCCACATCCGCTGAATCAGTCCCAGCTACGCCAAGTGTATCGGAGGGTGAACCGCCTCTAGCCTCTCAGCCAAGCTCCAGAGAAATCGGAAAGGAATGAAACAGAAACGACCAGGGCTCCTTATTAAACAGCAGACGGGTGTGCTTATCATTATTCCCCTAACATATGGCTCCACCCACTCATCCATGATGATTTGCTGCAAGTCGCGCTTTAACGCTATGACGGCAGAAATATCTCAAGTATCTACCGGGCGAAGCGTCCTTCTAGAGTTCCCGGCAGACACACGGTTCGCTCTGCTCAGGATAGGCATGACCACAGGTCCTAGGATATCGTTCTGCTCTAGAAGATTTAAAGGGGGTGGAGAGGTGCTTAGACACGGGGCTCTCAAAATTATGAGCTCCATAGATCCTGTCCACTTTTCACTAGGGATGAAGGTTATTATGTATTCCATGTACTGTACAAAACATACTGTTATTAGACTGCCCAGAAGAGAAACAGCCAGAGAACCAGCTCGATTCCAAGCTTGAAGGGATTTAATTCAAAATCCTATTCGGCTTATCTACTCCGTACATCTCCAATGAAATTGCTCTAAATGAAACGAAGACGGGGATAGAACAAACAAGGAGAAAAAGGAAAGAGAAAATCGTAGTATATCTCTAATACACAGTAACAAATGTATATCTAAAATCGGGCTTGCATGCCAACGTAACTATATAGCAAGGAGTGCCTAAGGCCACTGCTCCTTCGTCCCTTTCGCACAGCCCGCTTTGCTTTTTTTGAATCTTCATTGTAGCTTTTACAGCTTGGCCTTCTCCTGTTGAGCGAGCAGGTCGGGCATGAGGAGATCGCGAACTTCGCATGCCGCCTCGTTGAGGTAGAAACTCATCCGGTCGGCGCCGAGTTTCTTGCAAACGATGTTGAATTGTAAACTATTTTGACGGATTATATTAGCACAAAGAATGTTCCCCGGCCAAAGAATTGAAAAAAAAAAAAAGGAAAGAAAGAAAAAAGGAAAAAGAAAAATGGGGTGGGGGTTTCGGGGACTAGACTCACCTGTTTTCATTGATCATATACGCAATACCAAATCCGTCATCGATAACCTGACTCCATCCATAGCCGTTAAAGTACTCAGAGCTTAGCTGACTCGTACTCAGGTACCACGATCCGCTGTATCCATAGGCCGGGTCCTCGTACAACGCGGGAACCTTTTCGCCCTTCTGGATCAGCTGCTTCAGGCCGAAGAGATGTCTATCGACGCCCTTGCCGACACTCGCATCAGCGATGTACTTCGTGTGCGCAGCCAAAGCGGCACGGAAGAGTTTCGCTGTCTCTTCACGGGGCACGGCGGGGTCGCAATGAGCTTTGCAGAAGGCGACGCTCTCGTCGGAGACGGTGCGAGTGGTCTCGGTGCGGCCCTGCTTGAACTTACGCGTGGAGGCGGATTCGTAGGTAGGTCGGTTCTTGCCGTACATCTTGAAGTAGGCGAGCTGAATGAGCATCTGTACGTATGCGTCTGGGCTGCACTTGAACTTCTTGATCAGGCCCTTGCCGTAGGCTTGGAAGGCTTGAACTCGGAGTTCGTGCTTGCCGATCACACTGGCGAAGTCCTTCTGGGCAGTGGTGATGTCTTCGAGGACGGCGGAGTCGAGGTTGAAGTTGACGGGCTGGGGTTCGGGAAGATTGGAGCGGACAGAAGGGTTGGAGTAGTCGAGGCGGTTGTTGAAGATGAGATTGTTCACGTAGTCGTTGAGTCGATGAGTGGGGGTGCCATCCATCATGCTGTGTTCGCCGAGGAAACCAGCGGTACCGTTGTCGTTGACGATAAAAGTCAATGGCTTGTCAAACCAGCGGTTGGCACCATCACCATGCCAATAAACGTGCGCACGCTCTTCCAAAGTGACTGGGGCTGTGTCGTCGAGGCAGACGACGAAAGAAGCGCCCTCGATGGTCTTAAGAGCGTCAGCATTTGCTGGGTCAGCAGCAAGAAGCTTCTTGCGGGCAGCCGTCCAGAAATCGCGGTTCTCTGAAGTCAAAGCGCCTACAGCGGGTACTCTCTCGGCGTTCTTAAGAATCTTCTCGAACTGTTGCTGGAGTTCTGAGGTGTTGAGTTGCTCTCCGTTCAAATGGGTCTGCACCTTGAAAATCTGGTTCTTGCGCATAACCACGATATGCTCGTTGCCCTGAGCAGGGTACTTTTGGGGGTAGTCCGCACCCTCGGCAGGGATACGGCAGCAATTGAACATGTACTCGTATGAGCTCATGGCCATTGGCTCCTTGCGGAGGTACTCTGGCTCCAGGGAGCCATCATCAACCTGCTTCTTGAACTCTAAAACGGACGTGGTGATGGCAGCCGCACGCTTTGCAGGATCTCTCCTGTTTCGGTCATCGCGGTAAGAGTAGAAATAGCTAACGTATGGCACAACGGGATCTCGATAGCCGAGGTACGCAGCGTGGTTCCACCAATCGTACAGCCAGTTTTGCACCTTGGGATCGGCAGCTTTTGCGAGCAGTCTCTTCTGAAGAGTCTCACCCTCGCCGCCGGGTTTAACAAATGCCTCGACTGCCTTCTGCGAGCGCTTGAATTCTTCAGCGCTGAGAAGTGGGTGGAGGGATTTTAAATATTTTTTGCCGGTCTCTTCGAGGGTTGGAACGGGTAATTGTGGAAGGGAGTCTTCAAATCGGAGCATGCGTCCTTTAGAGAGATCTTCAGTGTATCCTGTCGTTGAAGGGGAGGAAAGAAAAAAAATTCCAAGATGTTAGTATGCTGGTTGTTCGTTTGCGGGCAGATCCGGAGAAGCGGAGAACATCGTACCTGCGGGGACGGACGAGTTGGCGCGACGAGCTGCCATTGTGATAACCTAAATATAAGGAGTCAGATTACGGAGGTTCACTTGGTCGAGCGACTCCCGTGAGTCGCGATCGATATATGCGAGCTCATGGGACAAATGAACTCACAGGTGTCCGAGCGGGGCGTGGGAGCGAAGCACGTCCAAGAGCAACGAGACGGCCTCGAGCAGCAGCCGGGAACATCCCAATGAGAGGAGGCGAAGAGGGATATGGAAATGAGAAAGCAGCGGGGAAATGGCGTGCGATCAGGAAGAGAGGGAAAAAAAAAAGGTAGTGAGCGGGAAGAAAAAAGAGAGAGAGAAGAGAAGGATTTCGGCCTAACTAAAGAAGAGCTGCAGTGGACCGGATCAGGAGGAGATTGATAAAAGGCGATCCAAGGCACTTCCTCGGCTCGATGGAGGATCTGACTAAGACACGGCCCGCGAAGGTGGCATCGGACAGTGCCGTCACGAAGCTCTCTGTCTTCACTCAACTAGACTTCACTCCTCGACAGGACTCGCAAAACGGTTAACTAATTAATCTCGCAACCTTGCTTTCATATGCTTTTTCTCCGTCCACCATCCCTCCGCCCGTCCCCTTCGCCGGCGCTGTCACAAGGCCGCCATTTTCAGCCCATCCGCAACCCGCCATGCTGACATAAGCCACCGTCCCCCCAGTCGGCGCCTTACCGGAGTTGGCTAGCGCTAAACCTGGCGCCAACTCCGGGCTTTTCCGCCGAACGCCCGAGCCTCGGCTCAACCGCGACGAGCGAAACTCGACGGGCCAAAGCGCCCATCAACGTGTGGTCTTCTGGCCTGTTAAGCCTTACAATATTAGGTCCATCCTCTCTAGAGCTACGGCCGCAAGGTTTCTAGAGTCCCGAGCTGGTGCCGTTGCTGACCTCCATCGACTTCCTGGGCAGGCTGAGATAACGGGAGTATGATGGCAAAATGAGCAGTTGATATTAAAATCACACCCCTTTGGTTATTTTTAGGGAAACCTTTTAGATCCCTTGCCGTCTCGAGCCTGACAGCCACCGGCATGCATGCCCTGGTTCTGACCTACACACCTTCTGGAGAATGATCACATGTATCTTGAATTAACCTGGAGTTATCTGCATCTATGGTCGTTGGATGAATTTGCGGATGACATAGTTCATAGCCAGCCTGTTTTAATCCTTCTAATCCAATGATTATATCGTCATTGGCTTTTCTTTTCCATCTCCCGTTCGACATAATGTTCCGCTGGCTATTTTGAAACGGCGATTTCCCTTACATCGTCGTCATAAATGTACCTGTGGTCTGATCTTCGCCATCAAATCACAAGAGCCCGTCTAGCACATGGAGAGGCGTGGTTTCAACTCCCGCGGATAGACATGCCTGTCGCTTCGCCCCGCCCCCCCCCCCCCCCCGGGATTCACCGCGGGCATGCGAATTTGCCGTCAACGGGGACCTGGTTGTTCACTATATCAAGAAAGGACGATGTTCACTTGCCAAGGGGGAACAGCCACTCTGTCCGGGGAGACGGAGAGAGTAGGCTAGAATCGATCTTTAGCTAGCGCATTTCCCTGCCCCCTGCAAAAGAAGTCCTATTGCCCGACATTCCAAGGCTTTTTCCGCTCAAGGCTTGTACGAAAAGGCCATCATATCGCTACTCTCCAAGAGAAGGAAGGATTCATATCTCAAACCACGTTCATCTGGCAACTCGTCTGGCATCGGATTTCCTCTGGAAGCGCTTGCCCAGCCTTCCCACAATTCCCGCCAATAACATGCTTCGGCGGCGCGTGTGAGGTACCGCTGTCGGAAAGTCTTGACACTGTTGTCGGCGATCTTTCTGGCCATCTCTGGATTCGCTAAGAGCTCGCTCATCTTTTCGGAGAGGTCTGAAAAGTCGCGCTCAACTTCGACAAAATTCTGATGCGGACCATCGGACTGGAGCAGATAGTGGTGGTGCTGGATGTACTGCAATTTGTGTGCGACAATGACTGATCGGCACGCCTGTCGGTATTTGAGAGAGGATGAGAAAGCGCGGCCTTGAGAGACACATGCATTCGGTTAGCATTCCAGCATCATCGCCAACAAACTCTTCAGAAACAGTAGTGGAAGACACCATCCGTACCTTCAACGTGTGCGACAAACATGTACTTGCAATGGTTTTGCATACTGATGAAATTATCCTTCTTTTTCCAGACGAGCTCCTTCACGTCGCCCCACGGCTTGTTCCTCGCAGCTTCGAGCAAGCCTCGCCTCAATTTGGGCGAAAAGCTAAGTTTCCCTCTCCAAAGCAGTTTCTGGGTCTTTGAAGACCACGGCATCCGATCCTCCGAATCGATCCTTTCGATGGTCTCTACCACCTGATCATAAGGACCGATGTTGCTTGACGGATTACCCCAAGCCCAAAATCCAAAGTCGGGTATCAGCCATACAGACTCTTCGCTAGCTTTCCTCCCAAGCACCCAGAGGGGCTGACCAGTACCAGAGACGTCGTCGACTCTGTCCTCGATCGAGAAGATAAACTCAATGTCAGGTACGTTATCCTGCAGAGCCCGGTGAATTGAGCTCAGGACCCCCAAAATCTTCTGTCGATGGTCTTCTTGGGCAGCCCGCGTTTCGATGACATAAAGATTTCCGTTGAATATCATCGCCCTCGCCATGCCACCTCGTAACTTGATCCCATCCAAAGACTCCTTTTGGATACCATCTCGAGAAGCCCAAAAGCGCACAGCACGGTGGACATCCTCGAATAGACCCGGAAAGGACGACTGACACTGCGAGCTGGTGAGGCCCACATTTCGATCATCACGACCATACACGAAAGTCCAGGCTGGAGACGATGGCGACAGCGACGGAGATGCTGTTTCGAATGTGGTTGGGGTGATCGAGTCTACACAGCTCGTGCAATTGAATGTTGTCGATGCCTTGCAAGTACAGTGGCCCGCAGGGATGAGTTGAGTGAGGAGAGGATGGACGTTGTCACCGTCCGAGTTCATGCCAAACCAGAGCCCAAAAATGCCCATGCCAATAATGGCAACGAGGCAGGGCGTGATAATCAGACATGAGATCCGGTATATGCGGCGAGACGGAAAAGGGACGGTCATCTCGCTCTCTTTGTATCTCTATCTGCCCCCGCCCCATAAATGAGATTCTTTCGTAAATTATTGAAGAGACGACTTCGTCGTCGTCCACACATCTTAGGAACTGGGAAGTTTACTACGAGCGAATTCCATCTGTATTTACCCATAAAAAGAGGGATTGCTGCTTCGCTGCTTACGAACTAATAAATACCCTGTATCCGCATTAAGGGGGGGTTTCTGATCAACCCTGGCTCAAACATCTCAGTTTCTGCGCGCAGAGCCACAGAGGATCACCGATGGGGCAGTCGGTAAACCTACAAATGGGGTTCTATTCCGCGGGGGTTGGAATGACAATGCGGAAAACGGAGAATTGCGATCTTCTTTTCGCGCGATGTTAAATTTTGGTGCAGAAGATGCGTCGAGTCCGGTAGCTTTCCTCGAAACAGACGGGAGCAGGACTACCTTTTTTTTTTCTTTAGCGACAAGCGGCCAGTTCTTTTTGATTGGCTATATTTTCCTCCCTCAACGAATCAACTTTGTCAGGCCCTTCTTCTCCTTTTCTTTTCTCTTTTTTTTTTTTTTTTTTTAGTTTTATTTTTTTACATCGAGGATTTTGCCAAACTTGCTCCATAACTCCTCCGCATATCCCTGCAATTTTCCGGAAGCAGGTCCGGGGCGTACGTAAGTTCAGCGGCACGCCTAGCCTTGGGACGAAATCGGCAGACCGAAACAAACACCATCAACGTCTTGATGGAGACATTATTGACGCAACTTTCTCCATACCAAGAGTCGAGCACACGAGTATCGGGGGGGCCAATAAGACTATCATGAAGAATAATAATAATAATCGGGACCACCACCAGGGGTTGGGTTGGGCCCCGGAGCCTGGAGCTAGTTAAGGATGCTAGTTACATGAATGTTGGCACCGAGCAGCAAGATTGCCGAGGGTTTCCCTGTACGGAGGTGAATAGGTCATTTCTCTCTGCTCTTGCACCTGGCAAAGCCGGGTCGAGGTAAGTAACATGTCCATAGTTTAGCAAGGAGACCACTCTTTCCAACGACCAGTGGGGAGAGAGAGCCGTATGATATCTGCAGCCGTTCCTGGCCTGTCTCAGCTTTGAATGCAACTATTTGCCATGCACACGATGGCCCATACTACGGAGTACATGTTGCGGGGAATTGATTTAAGTCCTTACTACGGAGTACTAGTGCTGCAAGCGGCCACCGCGGCGACGGGATTATATTTATCGAGGGGGCCTCTTCGCTCCCGGCACCGCGCAGCAGCGAGTCAGAAAAAGAGCCGATTTCGCTGTATCCTTGACCCCCAACAGCACCTAAATCAAATGTATCCACGCGCGTCTCCTCCGTCAACAAGGACAAGAGTGTATGCGCACGGAGTACGGAGGACACCGTGTTGCGTAACTATTCCGCAGATCTTCTCACTGCCTCCCTCCCTTCAACGTTCAGAGCGAGGAAGAAACCCTGAACCACTCAACGAGCGATAGCGGCTCAGCCACCCCCGGCGGCCATGCGAAACAAGAGGCGCACAGCAATGATGGTGAACAATTTAAAAAAAAAGGTAAAATAAAAAAAATAAAGCCGCGGGGAGGCTCTGTTTTGCCGCCCACTAAAGTTTGGTGGCGGGTCTCTTCAAGCCTTTGGTCCATCCGTTGATGCCAGGGGTTGAACGCCATACATACATAGCTGGCGAGTAAACTTACACCACCCGTTAGCCCGCCAGAACCGGAACATTCTTGTCTGCTATGGGCTGCGGTTCAAGCTGCACCAACCCCCCCCGGTCTCCACATGGCCATGATGGGCTGTATAAATACTACCAGAGTGTGATCTTGTTGAAAGCCGGCACTGGATTAAACTCAAAACTCGCCAATCTAACTTGTAGGTATTTACAAAACTAGGTGGCCGCTTCATTCTCGTCCTTGAACCGACATGTGTACGGAGTACTCCGTATGTGTATGTGTATGTGTGTGTGTGTGTTGCAACCCTTGACAGAGAAGTAGTCAACAACCCCTTTCCAATAACTATAAATGCCGGGGGTGTGGTTGGTTGGGGGCGGGAAATAAAAAGGGATTCAAGGAAATGCTCCCGTTGTTAACCTCCAAACGAGGCCAAGGTATGACCAAATTACCAGCATGCAAAGACAGGGATCATGCTTGTCGAGCAAGAATTAAGCATCAAAGAAACCCCGGTCACAGATCAAAGTTCCTGAGAGCCGCTCCCCATCAGGTGATACCATTGATGCTCCCCAGAAAAAAAAAAAAATAAAAAGAAAAAAATAAAAATTGGAGCCAGGATTCCTGCCCTCCATGTTTGTTACCAGACACGGAGCTGGTGTAATGTAGCAACGGCTTCGGCGATCCGAGCGCGAGTCACGCCATATTGAACGCAATCTATATTTACTTTATCCATGAAATTCTTAAGACACATTCCGCCGGATAGTTATAGAACATACTCCGTGCGCTGGCTCAAAATGCAACATTCTCAGGAGTACGCCGAGTACGAATGTCAGCTGCTTATCCCGGCACCAATTTTATATAACTAAGTATGGGGACACTCAAATACTAAAAAAGAACAACAATAATTGTTAACTTATGTATTCCTCCCCCCTGGCTCCTATTCCATTTTAGAGAAGACTCCATGGCCGAAAGGGAAAAAAAAAAAAGGAATAGTAATCGCTAAAATCTCAACAACTTCAAACAGGCTAGAGTCATGAATCGATGAAGCACGATAAAGGAGAAAAAAACAAGGCCACCCAGAAGCGTAGGATATGCTAAGATACAAAAACTGAACTTTAAAAAAAAAAGTTAAGACACCGTCTCAACTACTCTCGGCTGCGCGGACTCTTGGCTCGCTGGCGACACTCTAGGCCCATTATCCATCCCTGAGGGACCTTTCTTCTTCAAAAACTCGACCCCGGCACGACCTTTCATTCCAGCCGCAGTGCATATCCGTCCTGAACGCATCATGCTCTTCAGCCTCTTGCGACGCGCTTCACCGCCGCGTTCCTGGCCTTTGGATCCGCCCTCATCCACCCACTCTATGCTTTCCACCTTAAAGCTCATGCCATCATGGTTATTGCCCCAAGGCCGTGACTTGAGGCCGTACATAACGCTGGACTCGTAGCGTTCGAGTGGTGGGAGGATGAGCAGGGTGATGTGGAGGTCCTTATCAGGAGGTGGGATGGGGGGGATCCTGTGTTTTGCCTTTTGTTTGTCGTCTGATTC